TTGGCAGTCTGACCAGGAAGGACTGTGTGCTTGTCACTGGCCAGCCCCAAGGCAGGCTACGTGCACAGGCTTTGAAGTTTGCAGAACTCCTGAGAAAAATGTCCTCCCACTCCCTGGGTGTGTCTACATGAGATGCTTTACTGCTCAGTAGACTAATGTACTGTGCAGTAAATCAGCACTATGTAACTGTTCACAGGAGCTACTGTGCATTAAAATAGGCTAATTCACAGTTTTCTACCATGCAATTAGTTAATGCACAGTTGCTCATGGTTACATAGCTGACCATGAGCAAAGTGCTCCCGGTCAGCCAAGGAAGCAGAGGGTGGAAGAACTGTCCCCTTTCCCAGACATCTGCCTACTTCCCAGCCCTTGGTTTGATCAACTGATCTCAGAGCTGGGGCTGGGACAATGTCCCTTGCCCCTGCAGCAGGCAGCTGCTGTCCCTGGTCCTGGGATCTCAGAGCCGGGGCTGGCAGCTGCCTGCTGCAAGGCCAGGGGACATTGTACCAGCTCCAGCCCTGAGACTGGAGCCAGCCCAGCAGCAGGCAGCTGCCCGGGGCAGGGGACTATGGCCCAGTTCTGGCTCCGATCTTGGAGCCAGGGCCTGGCAGGTGCCTGCTTTGGTGGCAGGGGACATTGTCCCAGCCCCAGCTCTGAGATCAGAGCTGGTCCTGGGGGCAGGCAGATGCCCAGGGCAGGGGAAAATATCTCAGGTCTGGCTCCAATCTCAGAGTAGGGGTTGGGTAGCAGGCAGCTGCCTGGGTCAGGGGTGCTGGGTGGGAGGCAGCTGCCTCAGAGGTGGGACAGCTGTCCCACACCCACCCCTCTGGAGCCCAGGCCTGACCCTGGTGCCCCCTGCCAGCCCAGGCCTGGCACCTGGGGGAGCCTAGAGCTTCCCCTGGCTGCCATGTGTGAGCAGAGCAAGAGAAGAGTAGTCCTGCCCTGAACTGCTCCCACTGGGAGCAGATTTGCTTCCGATGGGCACATAGGTAGATGCACTCAAAGGGAAAGTTTCCTGTGTAGTATTTTACAGCGCAGTAAGCTTTCAGTGCCTTAATTGCACATGTAGGTGTGCCACCTGTATCACAAGTTACAAGGACTCCCCAGGCATATGTGCTATATATACTGGTTGTTTTCCTTGCGTAGCAGACCCTTTCCTGTGTTTTACTGTGTAGTGCTCTTCTGTTTTAAAGGCTGTAGAGGGCCTAGAAATGCCTGGGTATTGTGGCAGAATTACTCCATGCAATCACAAGCAATAAGCTCATAAAGGTCCCCTGGGTCTTGTTGTGCAGAGCAGGGTTGTCAAATATACATCCTGTGGGCCAGATACAGCCTTCAGAACTGCTTTGTCTTGTGGGTCTCCTGACAGGTCTGGGAGTTTGAGGGTGCTGTGGGGGCATGGCTGTTGGACACATCATTTGATTGCAGGGGGTGAGTGAGAAATGTCTCAACACAGCTTCATTCACCCCAATGTCACCACAACAGCTGTTTGCCCTGCTACCACCAACCCCACCAGGATCCAGTTCTGGACATTCACAAATCTATTGCTACTGTTAAGACACCTCCCCCCCACCCCCATCTGAGGACAGCGTGGAGGGGAACGTAAATTAATTCTTATTTAGCAGTGAACATGTTATTTTCAACCCAGGGCTGTCATTGAAAAGTCTGTCAAGAAGCAACACACATTGCCTGCAACGTAGTTCACATGTGGGCCATCAGCTGTGCCATGCATCTTCAAAGGGGGAGCTACAGGCTGGGATGTTGTGGTTAGGGTTAGGATGTACTAAAAACAGCATTGTGTTGGGGCGGACTCCAGTGAAGTTTAAATCTATGCTTCACATCCAAACCCCTCTATCCTTCTATTCAATGAATCTTCCAAGGTGCAGAGGCTCAGCCAGGCACAACTTGTCTCCCTCAGCTCCCTCAAGGAATCTGATCCACTGAGGACCCTTGTAAATGTTCAGGTAAAGAGCATGATAGGATCTGATGTATGATCCACACAATTGGACCTCCTGCCATGCCATAGGTGAGGCACTGCCATATCTGGGAGCCCCATCAGCTGATGGGGCTCTCAGCCACCTGGCCACATATTCAATGTTGTGATGAGGAGCCACAAAGTTATTATAATTTTTTTTTTTTTATGGAATACCTTTGTAGCTTATTGCTTGTTTTACCATGCCATTGATAGATTGAACATGTGGCTAGGTCACAGTTTAAGATGTGATTAACTGGTTAATTGCATCTTAAGTGTAACATGTAGATGGGGCCTCAGTTTCTTCCCACTCTCCTGTTAGCACTGACAGGCACTCAGGGGTGTTTCTTGGGCTGTCAGCTGTGTATGCAAAAATCTCTAATAGCACGTGACATCAAGGTCAGAAATCTGAGTTCACGTGATAAGCCAAAGGGAAATTTCCATTCCATGACATACGGTAAATTACCTTCCCAGTTCAACACCTAGCAGGTCTGGCTGTGTTGATTTCCAGCCTTTTGATTTATTTCTTCAGATCATAGTTTTCCAAGCAGTGGCTAATGACCATCTTGGCATGAGGCTGGGCTTTTGCCCAGAAGATAGATTGGCCAGTGGTTTCCAAGCACAGGATTCGACTTCTAATACTGCATGCAGCAGGGCATCTCCTGAAGTCAAAAGTTTGTCTGGAGGCTGCTGAGACATAAGCCTGTTTTTAACATGGGTCATGACAGGCTGGAAGCTCTTTGCAGATAGTAGGGTTAGAATATCTGACAGGAGCTGTTAAAAGCTTAGAACTGACCGTCCCTGGATACAGACTTCAGACAGGTTATAAAGAAAAGCATCTCCATTTGTACTCACTAACCATGGCATTGGAGCCCTGCATTTGAAACCAGGGGTGTCTCCTTCATGAGTGGGCCTGTTATGTCTCTCATGAGGGCAGCAAAGCAATCTGTATGTGAAGCTGAGATGTAATGGGGCCTTAGATTTTTGGCTCCACTGGTTTAACATATTAGAATTGGAGGACTAGAAGGGGCTTCAAGGGTCATCTGCCCCCTCCCCAGCCCCCTCCCCAGCACAGTTTCATTGTATCCCTTGGTTTTATATGTGGGCACTGAAGTTAGGATTTTTGATGCCAGCTAACTTCTTATTGTTCTGAACTACTAGGGTTGCAACCTGGGGCTTGGCAGTCCACTTTGATGTGTGTGCAGGATTCCTGCTGGAAACCTGCTAATAGACTTAGAATTATTTTCAGTAGAATTGAGAACATTCCTTCTACAGAAGCATGCTTATTACTAACAGCCTAGAGGTGCAATGGAGCTTAGGTTTTTAATATAAAAGGATAAGTGAATGATGAGATAAGAGACCTCTGAACAGTTATAACAATGGCTGTTTTTTAATGCATGAAGAGATATGAGTGCGTATGTGTGTGTATAGAGATATAGATTTTTCTCCAAACTTTGACCCTAGTGAATGGATTTCTTTCCATTAAAGGAGACAGTGGAGTATTTTCCACCTTCTATTACAAATATAACTATTCTTTCTCTCCCAGGATAGCTCAGTATTTTTTAATAGGACCACAGAGTATTGTCAGGCTCAGATTTCTACCTAGTATTGCAGGAAATACCCTCTACTACTGAACCTGCTGCTGTGTCAGCCCGTGCTGCAGAAGTACATCATTAGTCACCCTACAGTTCCGCAGCCAGGATTTGACCTACCGAGAAAGATTTGGTCCTCTCTGAATTACATCTAGACACTTCATGGAAAATGTGGGCACCTACTTCATAAACACAGAATCAAAGAGTGTCCGGGTTGCAATTGTATGCAATTTTTCAGACGGTGCAACACATTCTGAATGATTGCCCAGTTAAATAATTTAATGGCTACCTAAAAGCAATTCATGCAGCTACCCCTAAAGCAGTTGAGTGGCTATCAAATTTAGATATTAATCTATTAATGTTGTAATCCTAAAATGTCATACAAAAGAGAGAGAGCCCCTGGTGCCCTACTGCCAGGGGTATCCAGTTTCCTGCCTCCCTTTTTACAATATTAGTTCCTTGCTTTCCATCTTGCCTTCTCCCCACCTCAGATGCTCTGTCTGATGATAGCATCCTTCGCAAACTAGCTGGTGCTGCCCTATTTCTCCCTCGGTCGCTGCAGCTCAAAACAAAAGACAAGCAACTAGTATAATGACCTACTTAGAGTATAAAACAGTCTCTCTTGCATCTACTCCCATTTAATTCTATGATATGTTCTGCCTAGAATATGTGGGCAGAACAAATTGCCCTTCCTTCATAATCAAAAGCCTAAATCCTGCCACCCCACTCTGCCAGGCACAAACAGTTGGATTAACTAGGCCCAATTCTTCTCTTACCCTAGTTTTAAACTGGTGTAAATCAGGAGTAACTCCACTGAAGCTTGCAGATCTACACCAGTAACAACTGGGAGAAGAACTGAGCAACAGAGAGAACACTTGGGCTTCTAATCCCTGCTCTGTCTTGTAGGTGAAGGTGCACTATGTGTGATTTGCTGGTATAGCTGGGCAAAGTTCATGGTTTTTATTTGAATGGGTAAAATACACATGGTCTTATCTCAGCTCATGAGGCACTTCACCCCCAAAGTTCCACTGTGAGTTTCAGGTCACAAATTACCCATTACATGCTGAATTTCAGATGTTGAGCCTTCAAACGGTTGAGCATTGAAACATTCTGAAACCTGTATACGTTTCTGGATGCGGATGGCCAAGATCTCCATAGTGCCTTTGAGCAATACAAAGGGAAACCAGTCCCGACATATTTCAAGGAAAAAGAAAATGAGTAATAATGCTAAAAAGATCCTCAAAAGTAAACCAAGTTATTTAAAAGAAGAAAAAATGACTGAGCCTTACTTGTTTTTAAGCCATTAAGTAGAAAGGATACAACCTCCATTTTTTTTGTCCGCAGGTTGCCTTTCAAACCTTGCAAATTGGAAAGGGCAAGAGAGTTCCGATTTCAAGTGTACAGAATTGTAAACTAATGTTTGTTCTTGCTTGAAGGAGGAACGGAGGATACCTACTGTCCCTGATAGCTTATTCAAGATTGTTTTTGTGGGCAATTCAAGTGTAGGAAAGACTTCATTTTTAAGGCGATTCTGCGAAGACCGATTTTTCCCAGGCACGTCTGCTACTGTAGGTAAGTTTATGGAAAGTTGGGGGTTTTTGTCTTGTGCCAACCAGGACAGAGCTGAACATACCCTGTCCCATGCCCTGTACTCTTGTACCTGCAGGCATGCTGAGAAACTGGATCTACACAAGCGAAAGTGCACTGGGCTTCCTTCCCAGCACGTTCTCCAAATCACAGTGGAGGTTACAGGCTCAAAAGTGACCTCAGCATTCTGTACCCAGGCATCCTCAGCAGCAAACCTCTAGTTTTGGAGTGATGCATGAAAACCCAGTGGGAGATACGTGGGGTGACATGGCCAGGATACTGTGGTGTAGACAATCCCAAATGGGCTAGGATTTTCCCATACTCCTAATCCTAGTACACCATACAGGAGGCCATGCCACAGCCCAAGAAATACATAAAATTTGCCTTATATCAGACAACCTCATAACCATCACAGAAAGCAAAATAACTGTTTCATTGTCCAGGAGAAGACAGTAGTAGCTTTATGCAGAAAAGGGGGAAAACCATTTAGAGAGAATTTCTGGAAAGCTGTGTGCCTAAAAATGCATCCATCTCCCTCGCACTTGGAAGCCAGACCTTTATAGACTCTGGGGCTCACAGAGAGTGGCCGATTTGGAGGCTCTAGTTTAAAGGACTGATTTTTAAATGTAACCTTTATCATAATACAGCAAGCAGGTGCAAATCTGAGTTCTGATTCACCCATCATCATGATGAGTCACCAAGATGAGGTTTGTTATTCAGCTGGCCTGAAAGTACAGATAATCCCAAAGTGACATGATGAAGGTGAAAAATGCTGATAAGCTTTGACAGAGTAGACCAGGGGTGGGCAATTATTTTGGGCTGGAGGACCACTTAATGAGTTTTTGTGAACTGTCAAGGGCCATACACACAAAATCTTTCAGCAGATATCATTTTAACAAATTACAGATAAAAACAAATTGTACACTAAAAATCAAACATAACTATAACATATTTTAATTTTATTTCAAAAATTAATTTTTGTCCTGATTTATGTTTTTTGAGCTGTGTGTGTGTGTGTATAGAGAGAGAGAGCTGACTGCATGATTGCTAAAAACAAAGTTTTATATATTGTGGGGGAGGGGAGGCATGGGGTGAGAGCATGGGGGAGGTGGGTATGCACATGAGTTGGTGGGGCTGTGCATGCGCTAGGTCCTGGGAGCCAGCCAGGCGTGGAGGTGGGGCAGGGGATGCATGCAGCAGAACTCATCCATGTGATGCAGGTGAAAGTGCAGCCCTCCACCTACCCCATCCAGGCCTCGGCTGCCCTGTTGGTGCTCCTCCTGGAGCTAAGCCCTGCCTGCTCTCTCCTGGGCCAACCTGCACCACACTTCCATCCCCACCTGCCCCACACCCACCAGAAAGCACCGCCCCAACCCCAACCCCAACCCCAACCAGTGCACACAGCTTCCTGGTGGAGCTGCTACCTCCAGTGGCTCTTCCTCCTCCCCCTGCTTGTGTCCCTCCAGGCATCAGGTAACACTGGGAAGGCATGGGAATACATGCTAGGCAGCAGATGCCCATCAGGGGGAAGTTGCAGCTGGGCAGCTGCTGCCTCTGTGTGGAGCTCCAGCTCCAGGCCACCTTCCACCCACTCTGCCTGCCTGGCATGATGAACCACCACCTGCAGGTGGGTGGAAGGTATCTGGAAACTGGAGCAGGAGCTCTATGTGCTGGGGCAGGAGCTGCCCAACTGCAGCTTCTCCCCTGCCTGGCTGGGCATCTGCTACCTGGCACACATCCCCCACAGCCACCATTGCTTCCCTGTGCTACCTGCTGCCCAAAGCAGCACAGCAGAGGCAGGAGGAGGAGAAGGAGCAGCCACTGGAGACAGGGGGAGCTGAGCAATAACTCGGGCTCCTGCAGCTGCACCAGGAGCAACCCAGCAGAAAGCTGTGCACACTGGCTGGGATCAGGGCCAGGGCTGTCAGAGGGTATGGCCTGCCTGGGGTGGGAGTGGGCAGGGCTCGCATGTGGAGCATCACAGTGGCAGCCATGGGCCAGATCAGTCAATTAGTATGCACCTGCCTGGGGGCCAGATCCAATCAGTTGTCAGGTTGTATTTTGCTCACCCCTGAAGTAGGCTGTATAGATAGAGCAGTCATTCACAACCTGGACAAACCCAGATGCAGCTTCTGTAAAATCTGGATGTCCTCCATCCTGCTTCTTTATCACCCACTGGAGGTATCAGGGGCTCTTTCAGTTAAAACTAGTGGCAAAATTCCCATGGATTCCAGTGGGGCAGGTACAGGCTTTAGGAGAATGTTTCAGTAGTTTGTGGTAGATTCCATGGCTAAGCAGCATTAGTGAAGACAATGAAGTATAATGGCTGAAGGAGCAATTGTCACAAGTATCCAAAAGTTGCACACCTCCCTGCCTGGGAGAGGTTTGATTGAAGCATTTTAAGCAAAATTTGGAATGTACCAAAGTGACTTTGGAGCTCTGTTGCCACTGACAATCAACAGGACTCAGGATACTAAATCACTTAGGTACTTTTCAAAATTTCACTCATCCTGACTTTTTATGAGGTAAATTAATTCATGCAACCCTCAATGTTTTTGCTATTGCTAAAACTTCTGTGGCAAATAGAAGCTTCTGCTTGTTCTTGTTATTGGCCCCTTGCAAAGGACCGGGATTAATTGCATGCCTTATGAAATGGGTTAGAATGGTAATTAATGTCTTATTTGGGCATGATGTTATTATCGTACATCACCACATCCCTGATCAGACCTGCATATGCTGTGGTTTCTTTTAGGTGTAGATTACTGTGTGAAAACAGTAACTGTGGATAACAGCCAAGTGGCCCTGCAACTCTGGGACACTGCTGGGCAGGAACGGTGAGAAACTATCTGAACTTTCCTCTCTTGTAAACTATTAATTTAGAAAATAACAGCCCTGGGTCCAAACCTACTTCCCAGATGTGGGAGCACAGCAAGCATGGCCTTGTTCCAAATGACTTTTAATCATAGTGAGATCACTGCTTTGAGTCTTTCCCAGGAGAATCAATATCTGCTAGTAGAGCGGAGTGTTCCAGGTACACTGTCAGCCTCTAACAGTCTACAAGACACAAGGGAGGAGTAGAGCTGATGGAAAGTGGTCAGCACTTTTTTACAACAAAAAAGTATTTTTTTTAACAAGTTGAAATTTTTCACACACATTCCAGTTGCTGTAGAAACTTTTTTCTGTTTTAAATGAAGAAATTAAATAGAAAAAAATTAGTGTCAGGTTACCAAAAAACCTAAAATCACAGTTTTTCATTGCTGCAAACTGATAAAAATATATCCCCCCAATTTTTAGGTTTCTATTAAGGGAAACCCCCAAAAATCATTCATGGGAGGAGAAATTGGCTCCTAACCAGCTCTTTTGAGTTCAGTGGTGCAGAGGAAAGAGGAATTCCTGTAATGGCACACAAGGTTATAATGAAGTGGGAAGACAGAGGTGAGATACAGGTCTGATAAGACAGGGCCACTGAAATCAGCAACAGGATTTTTAAAATGTGTTTACATATTTTTGTTGGTTTGATGTTTTCATTCAGGGCTGTCCAACAGGCAGCCTGCAGGTCACATGTGGCCCACACAGGGTTAAACTGTGGCCCCTGGATTTCTTCCCAAGTACTGCTCCCCACACTGCTCCAGCTGCTGCTGCTGCCAGAGCCTCCAGGCTTCCCCCAACCCTTGTCCTCCAGCACATACTTATTGACCCGGCCCCTGGGGGTGGGATGGTCCAGGGAGGCCAGGGCTCTGGATTCCAGCTGGCCCTGCAAGGTAGGGAAGTCTGCATGGAAGTGGGAGCTCAAAGTAACACACAGTGAGCTAACACAGGGAGACCATGCAACAGCAGTGTGAAGGGTGCATGGAAGCCCACATGGTGGGGAGCGAAGGGTAGTATGCATTGGAAGGAGCATGGAGGAGACCATGCAGTGGGGGGTGGAGGGTGAGCATATTGCAGGGGAAGTGCAGGCGAGACGGCACAGTGGGGGGAGGGGGGGCAGAGGTGTACATAATGCAGAAACCTGCGTATTGTGTGGCCTAGGGGGCCTATGGTCTGCATGGATTTGGCCACCAGCCATTGGGAAGTTGAATGGCCCTGTTTTAATAATTGATACAGGGAGTGACATTCATGGGCTTCCACTGAATGAGAAAAAGGGACAGAAATGCACAGTATTTAGTTACACACATCTCAGTAAAGCCATGTTTTTTTCTATCAGGTCTTCACTGAAGCTTTTGCTAGAATATCGTGCATTCAATTTAGTGTGAAATTCTCATTGTAATCAATGGAGGTTCCAAACTTAGAACAGGCAAAAGGACTCTATTTGATAGGGGGGAGAAATATGCTTCCTCATTATAAATTCATACATAAGTAAAGTAAATGAGAGTTTGTCTTCAGGTTTTATACCCAGAAATAATCCATAACCAGGTGCGGTAATCTCTTGCTGTGTGACCTTGAACAGCTTGCTCAAACCTGGTCATGTTTCAGTTTACTATGCATCTATAGAATGAGTGTAATAATGATTTTCCCTTAGGAAAACAGTTAAGATCTGCAGCTGCAAAGCTCTCTAGAAGTAGTATTGTTATACCAATCTGATTAATCCCACTGACTTCATTGGGACTACTTGGATGAATAAAGAGTCGAATATTTGAGTAAGAGTTGAAAAATTGGCCCCTAATTTGGGAAGATATGTGGTAGCATGTGCCCTTATAGCTGTGTTTCAAACTTAGCTCATAAGAGTTTAAATGTCCTAGATAGCTGTATCTAAATCTTCAGTGCTACAGGATAGTATGGTTGCTGTAGACTGTGACTACTGTATGGTAAGAATATTGTCATGTTGCTAAGGCTGACCAGGATAGGGCTATAAACAGATTCTTGTTTGCAGGTACCGCAGTATTACCAAGCAGTTTTTCAGAAAAGCCGATGGTGTCGTTGTGATGTATGACATAACAGCAAAAGACACATTCATATCCGTCAAACAGTGGCTTGTGAGCATTGAGGTGAGTTGCATAGCTTTAAATCCAGATACCCGAGACCATATCTTCTAATTCCTTGGCATACTCCTAATAGATAAGGGATATTAGCAGTGCAAAGCAGAGACGAGATGATGCTGGCATTTCTTGAGCTCTAGCAATTATTTATTTTGTATGTAGGACTTCAGTTTGCATAACTGCCAATTCAGCTATTTTTAGAAGCCCTAAATTAATTTGATATTAAAACAATAATAACTCTAAAATTTCAAGGAGTAAAATATCCATGGATTGGATGTGTGTCTTTCCTTGTGTCTTCCCTTCCAGCATTTCCTGGTATTCAGTTCATACTGAAAAAAGATTGCCACTTTCTCCAGTTTCTGTATCAGCATGCACTTTATTAAAGGTCATTTAGCTGAGGGCTCCAGCATTGTCACTGACATGGAATATGCTTCAAAGCAATAATGTAATCTCTAAGAGGCAGTTTTGCAATGGCATATTTTGCTCAGGGGATTTTTACTGAGTTGTGTGTACATGTGAACAGTATCCCCGGTAAGTGTAGTTAAACTAGTTGGTGCTAGATGATTCAGTTTCCTTGGGGGGAAGAAACATTTCTAAGGCACTACACGAACACCCAATGAAAGTCTATGCAACAGTTTTCCATGTTGTATCTGCTGAGATCTTGTGATAACTATTGATCAGAGCACTCTTATCAGAAGCACTGTTCTCTGCAGTGGCCACAAGGTGGCTCTGCACTTTGGTGTTAAGGCCAAATTGCCCAAATACTTATTAATGGGTGTACTTCCACTGAAACAAACCTAATATTAAGTATTTGCTTGATAGAGCCCTTATTTAATATATTATCTAATAAAAAAAATCCTACAGTTGCAACAAATTCAGCAAATTGAAAATTACCTGCAGATAACAATGAAGGTTTTGATAAGGAAAACTTGGTCTTATTTCAATTCCAATATTTTAAGTAGTTGATTCTTCTTTACTGAATAATTTGGGGAGATAGTAACTGGCAGAGTAACTGGCAGTGGTTTGAAAGAAATACAGCCAAATGCACTGACTTCTCTGGCACCCTGCCAACTTCATCATGCAGTAAATTTAGTCCCTGCTGGAGCTATGATAATGTATTTGTCCTGATAGTGTCTTATTTTGTAATAAATGTTACCATTCTTCAGAATTAGATTCAGTGGAATGTATTTGTTCTGTGGGTTTTATCTCTAGCTATATTATGTACTTCAGTTGGTATAATTATATCTAAATGCAAGTATTTCTATGTCCATCTAATTGGCAGAGTATAAGCTAGGTAATAGCCTGTGGCTATGTGTAGCACAGTATTTCTAATTAGTTTTTTTAGTTTGACTGATTTTTATGTTTATCCATTATTCAAGGAATAGTAAGTATTGTGATGAATCTCTAGTACAGAAGATCTCCTTTATTGTGTTTGTCCATCCTTAAGGCCTGGTGTATTTCTTTATTTAATAGTATTTTGCTTCCTGGATCCAGTAACTGTATTATTCTTATTTCCCATTGGCACTTAAGCACCTGTAGGTGCTTGTCGTCTCATAATCGGTATTCATTTTTCAAAACACATTCTGCTTGATATTGAAAAATTATGTCTTGCATAATTTTGTGGTGGATTTTTTGCTCTGCAGGAGGCAGCTGGGGAGAATATACCTCTTCTTTTGCTGGGTAACAAAACCGATAATGAAAAAGAGCGAGAAGTCCCCAGTGGACTAGGAGGACATCTAGCCAAGGTATGATACTTAGAATGAAACTCTTTGCAAAAAATAAAAAGTGGAGGGAAGAACATACAATGGATATTGAATTATTTCTTAGAAGCATAGTACGTTATAATTTTTTTTTAAAAGACGATCACTTTAAAAAAACAATCTCCTCTTCCTCTGGAATTATAAATTGAGCAGTAGAAATGGCTTACCATGCTCAACGCTTTTCTTAATATTATCCATAAAAAGCCAGGTTTGTTCATTTGTTAATTGTTTGTTACTTGGTTATCAAATCATTTATCTGAGCAAACTGCAGCTGATGCTTTGCCTAAACTGAATACAGTAAAAGTTCTCCGTCATCTTACAAGCCGGCATGCTCCACTAACTGGCATGCCAGCTTGTAAGATAAAGTGAAACCAGAAGTGCCCACTGTGGCACTTCTGATTTCTCCGAGGTCCCATGGCTCGGGGCAAAGCAGCCTGGGCTTCCGAGCCCCCACGGCCCAGGGGCATAACAGGCTGTGCGGGGCTCGCCTCCCTGTCCCACAGGGCCCATGGGAGGGGCAACGATGCTGCTGGAAGGGCAGAGGAACACCCCAGACGTGGCAGGAGAAGCGGCGGCTGGGGCCGCTCAATTAACATATTTTGTTATCCGGCATCCCCCATTCCTGGGAGATTTCGGATAACAGAGCTTTTACTGTATTATAACTATGGTGCTTGGTCATTGAGGGCATCTTTACGTGTGCTTCAGTTGGGGGGTGGGGCATGCTTTAATTAGAGCAGCTCCAAGAGCCACTCTGCTTAAAGCACCTGGGATCCATGGACAACAGTTTGAGTAACAGTAGATTAGCAATTAACAGAAGCATTGGTTGATAGGCACAGGCACACTCCTTTTTTGCATGAGCCTACATAGAAACTGTTGTACAAATCTTCAGAAGAAAGTTAACTCCAAGGCTAGGAACAGACAATCAAAAAGCCTGAGCCTGAATTGGTTCAATCTTTGCAGGTTAGTCTATCCTGCCTAGGCTGAATCAGTTTGTAATTGCACAGACAGCCTCCCAGCACTGAAAAAAATGCAGGCACATGCCTGCAGTGACTCAGGCTAGAAGCCAGGGGGTGCTAGAACAGCCCTCCCTTCCATTCCACAATGCTGGGCTGAGGGCAGTGTGGCTAGGCCCAGCAGGACACTCTGATTAGGAAACACCCCGTCCTTTGCTGAGCCAGCAGGGGTTTACACAGCATTTATCACCCCATCAGCAAAACAAAAGCATCTCTCGTTAGTTCAAGCTCTTCTTAAACAACTTGTTCCAAGGCAGGAGTGGAGGGACGTTACCAGCTGACCTGTTGATTAACTCCAAAGGGTCAGAAGCCACTGTCCTTTGTCCCATCTCTCACAGCATGGATGTAGTCAGCATGTAGTATGCTAGCTAATGCTGAGAGGTGTCTGTGCAAGGTGGGGGAGGGGAATCCCAGCTTAGCAGAGAGTGGTGAGGGAGGGGAAGTAGATGGGAAGCCAGGCAGGTGCCTGCAGTCTCTGCCAGAGCTCCAACCAGAAAGCAGAGGGGAGGGGCCAGCTCTGCTGTGGAGCAGAGAGCCTGGCTCAGAAAGCATGCCAGGATGCTGGGGGAGTCTGGTTTAACTTAAATGAGGAAGGGGTCTGGGACAGACATTGCATAAACCAGTTTGACCCAAATCAGTTAAGTCTGATGCTACATTCAACCAGGTTTATCTCAAACCCGTTTCAGCCATTTTCAAACCAGTTTATGTGCACTGAGCATCTGTTCTGTTACAGGTTTAAACTAGTTTCTGATCACTTAAACCAGTTTATGTGTAATGTCGGTCCCTAGCCCAAGGGGCAGGAACATAACTGAATTGAATAGTGCTGGATTATACCTGTATGTATGTAAATACATTTTATGCAAACAGTTCCACTGATTGGTAACTCTTAAGGGATTCATTGCTTTCTCCAATATTCAGTAAAGTCAGTGGAATCATTCTGGATTAGCACCAGTATAGCTAAGGTCAATTTTTGGCCATGTGGAGAGAATTGATTTAGGGCCATCTGCTGCTTTGACTTAAGACAGCCTGCTACAAGCCTATCTCCACATATAGAACTCCATGGTGCCAAATGACCATTTCTGTTGGATTTCATAGGATGGAGGAGGCTGTTTTATTTGGTTCTGATTGCAGTCCCTTTGCAATCAGTGAAATTCCTAATGACTTCAGTGAAAGAAAAGCCAGCCCCCTTAATACCTCAGAGTTTCTGTATTTAACAAGTCTGTTTGATACATATATTTTTGGTAAGCATCCAAATGCAGGTATAATTTCAGGCCCAGGAGTCTTCTAGCTAGGGATGACTCCAGGGTATTATTACTGAATCCTTATGCCAAAAAAAATGAAGTGACACATGAAAGGTAAGGGAGGGAAGTAGGTGTCTGCATGTCATTTATCTCTTTTGAAGAATTGCAGCTAGTAAAGCAAAGATGAAACACACTGAGATACTGAATTTACAGCTCATCCAGTTGTTAATTGTAACATGGCATGTAAGGGAAATAAAATGTTTTACAGAAGTAAAACAACACAACAGCAATGCTAACATTCAAGTGAATGAATGTTCATTTTGATGGAGCAAAGGTAAGGTGTGATCATCATTCAATTATAGGAATTAGCTTACAACAACACTTTTTATTTTAATAGAATATTAATTATTGCTAAATAACAATGTAGTTCCTATGAAACCACTTATGACACCTTCATTAATGAATCCAGTTGAGTTACTGAAAATGAATAATCACATGACTGACATGTAAAGCACTCAAAACTACATTGAGCCATATTTTCTTTTTGGCATAAATCTTCATAGGTTCATCATCATATTATTCTGGTTTAAAAGATAGATTCCCTCCTTCCCCTGCAAAAAGTAGGTATTAAAATTGAGGTGCATTTTATACACCATAGCTACATGCCAAAAATACAGGCAAATGATTGTAATGGAAGTTTTAACAAAATAAAATCAAATTTATTTTTCAAACTGTTTTCTGCAGTTTTCATGTTTTTAAGGGCAATATACACAGGTGCATCTTGCACACTGGAAAATTTGGTAACCTCAGAGAAGCAAAGACTTATTTATACCCATTTATTGGTCCATCATGAGTAAGTTTCCAAGAATCTTTGTAGACAGTGTTTAAAGTACAACAGGTCATATAGTGCAGCTCTTGTTTATGCGTGGAAGTTTGGTCATTAGGTCCCCTAGATCTTACAAGTTCGACAACATGGTGTAGAACCAAGCAGAAGTCCTCATGGGTACCACTGCTTTAGGGTGTACCAGGGGCACAGTGCAGCCCCAGTGGAGGAATGTTGTCCCACTAAAGGAAGTCTTGTGAAGTGACTAATGCCAACTATTTGAGAAGCATAAGGAAAAGGAGAAAGGATGGCCTTGGTTTTGAGGCCTTGGATGAGCACTCAAGAAATGTCACTGCTAATACGGCTAATCCTGGTTTTTTAACCAGTGTTTGTCTGAACATAAACAGTCTTGGCATTTGGGACTGGCATCCAGGACTCCCTCCCCACTGGACTACAGAGGAGGTTTTGTCTCTCTTCCCTGCCTTCTGGACCTGTGACTTGCAATCTGGGCCACCTTCCCAGGTTAGCTCATAGCCTGGTTTTTAGGACATTTTCCTGAAAAGTGGGAGATAAGGGTCTTAATCCTCTCCATCTGAGGAGAGTGTAGAAGCCAGCTCTCCTGCTTATGGGGAGAGTTCTCTAACAGTTTAGCCCCTGAGGAGAAAATTATGATGAAATTCAACAATGGACAAAATATGCAAATTGTGCTTAGTATGGCTCGCAACTTATTAGCTATGGCATTTGTTTTGTTTTTTTCTCTTTCATCTCCTTTATTTTTTGTCTGGTTTTAGAAGCCCCAGGCAATGTAGCAATAGTTACTTTCTTTACTTGAGTAGGTTCTTCAACAGCTATGTTACAGGGCGGTAATTGTCCAAATCACTCTTCTTGTTTAACGGTTAGTTGTATGTTTGGTTTTGCCTCAATCTTTAGGTGCTGTTTCAAGTTCATTAGCTAATTCCTGTGCTAGAATAGGCAGGTGCATCTCTCATATGAGTAATTAGATATATCCCTATCTGGTGCTCATATGCCCAGATCTGATTATCTGAACTCTACTTCAGGTTCATGCTGTAAATACTTCTTCCAAAGTTCAAAGGAATTGCACCAGCTATTTCCAGACTGACTTTCATGTTTGTCAGCCCAGCAGAAATGAATGATTAGCCTCAATAGAAGTAACTCATTATCCCACACACAGGATTTTCTGTGCTATGTGGCATTTGTCAAAGAACCCTTCTGATTCATGTCATCATCACTTGCATGATTTCTCCTCAAATGATATGTTGTAGAAGAGAAAAGCGGGGACAGTGGCAATCACAGTGTGGTTCCTGTGTATTATCCATATGCTGCCTAAATTTTCTATTATGGGTCTGACAACTTTCCTACATGATAAAGCAAAGGAGATTTGCCCTGTGCATACATTTGATTTCAGACTTGGCACTTATGTGGTCATTAAGCCATTTAACCAGGAAAGTTACCACTTAGGATAGAAGTGTTTTCTGCTCTGAATCTGTCCTGAGAAAAGCAGGGAAGAGCTTTAGTCAGCACATTAATATTCAGAACTTGTGCATTCTTTTATCCTTCCATAAGACAAATGGAAATCCAGTGTAAAGAATGTCTTTCCTTCTGTTTGCACTTATTTCTGGACTCAGCATAATCACTTAAATGCCATGCGCATCAACAGTGAGGTGCGGCAGTGGTGGTGGTGTGGAGCTGTGCCCCTGGTGCTGCCGGATGGGCAGGAGGTGCCTCACCTTGGGAGCCATGGCAGCATAGCACTCCCTCCTGCCCTCTGGTCCTTGGAGGTAGCTTCTGCCTGGAGCTAGTACGCCCTGCCTCCAGCCCCACACCTCACTGTGGGTGCAGAAAGTTGAGGGGGCATGTGCTCCCCCACTCCCTGATGTGTGGCCTGTG